AAGATACAAAGACCAGTGATACCTAGGAGACAGGAAACAGAGGACGTCAGCCCTATAGTTGAGTTTCCAGGCTACAGAACAGGAAACTAAAAGCCCACAGATTCAAGCAGCTCAATGACTTAAACACAAGACACAAGAAGAAAACTATATCATTGCACATCATAACCAAATTGCTCAAAGTCAGTGATAACATATCAAAAAGTAGTTGGGAAAGGCAAGGGAGACATGCTACATACAGGGAACAAAGATGACAACAAATATCTGCCTTCAAGAAATTTCTTGCAGAAAACAATGGAAATGAGAGAACAGAGGCACTATATCATTAAAGACTAAATAAACTGTTTAAATATGTAAAAGCTGAAAGAATTCAATATCAGCAGACCTGCACTACAATAAATGTTAAAAAGAAATCCTTCAGACAGAATAAAAATAATACCGCATAGAAACGTGTGTGTGTGAAAATTGCTCAGTCATGTCCAACTCTGTGCATCCCCATGGACTATTGCCTACCAGGCTCCTCTATCTACAGGATTCTCCAGGCAAGAATACTGGATTGGGCTGCCACTTCCTTCTCCAATATAGAAACACAGATATATGCAAAGAAATGAATAGCACTGGAAATGGCAACTACATGGTTAAATAGTTAACATATTTTTCTTACTGTTCAAAATACTTTAAAAGATAAATTAACTGTTTAAACAAAAATTTTACCATTGCTGCGTGGGGGTTGTCACATGCATAAATAAAATTTTTGATAATAATTGCATAAAAGAAAGAAAAAGTGAAAATGTACTATTTTATGGTTCTTACATCACTTGAAGGCAGACTATAATAAATTAAAGATGTATATCATGAATCCTGCAGACATTACAAGGAAAGAAAACTATCCTCAAAAAGATAGATGCAAAAAATCTTAACAAATTCTTTAGAAAACAGAATTCAACAATAGAAAGAATAATCATCACGACCCAATGGAGATTGTCTCAGGAATGCAAGGCTGATTTAGCATTTGAAAAAATTAGTGCATTACAATTCCACACATTAACTAAAAAAGAAAATCCTATGATCATTTTGATAAACACAGAAAAAGACATTTGACAAAACCCAACATCCATTTCTATGGATTTTCTTTTAAAAATCCCAGTAAAATAAGAATAGAAGGGAGCTTCTTCAAACTGATAAAGATCATACATGAAAAACTTAAACTATTCATAATGGTGAAATACTGAACACTTTCCCCTGAAGATCAGGAACAATATATCTAATCTTCCACTTAATATTATACCAGAGGATTAGCCAGTGCAATCGGGCAAGAAAAAGAAAAAACAGACATAAAGATCAGAAAGGAAGAAGAAAACCTGCTAGCAGATGACATGACAGTCTATGTATAAAATCCAATGGAAGATACAAAAAAGCTACTAGAACAAGTCTGTTTAGCAAGGTGGGAAGATATGAGTATATAATATTCAGAAGTAAAAAACTGGAAATTGAAATTTAGAAAACAACACCATCTTACACCAACATTGTTGGCAATAGCAAAAGGTTGTGGTAATCATTGATTGATGAATAAATGAAATGCAATATAGTCATACAATGGATGACTATTCAACCTTAAAAGAAAAAAATTCTGACACATGCTACAACATGGATTAACCTTGAATATGCACCATATACTAACCCAAGAATTAAACCCAAATAGACCATAGACCTAAATGTAAAATCCGTAACTATAAAAGTTATAGGAGAAAACCATCATGCTTTCGGTTAGGCAAAGAGTTCTTAAGACACCAAAAGCAAAATCCATAAGAGAACACATTGGTAAATTGAGGTTCATTAAAATTTAAAACTTCGGCTCTCTGAACAACACAGTGAGGAGAATCAAAATGCAAACCAAAGCCTGGAAGAAAATATTCTCAAATCATATATCCCAAAAAGGTTTGAATCCAGAATACAAAAGAACTCCCAAAACTTAGAACGGAAGAGAAACCCACACAATTAAAAAATGGATAAACAATTTCAACAGACACATCACCAAAGATAAACAGATGGCAAATAAGCACATGAAAAGATGCTCAGCATTAGTCATTACATAAACGCAAATTAAAACCAAAACGAGATACCATTACAGACCTATTAGTGTGTCTAAATTTAAAGAGACTGACAAATGCTGACAAAGTAGCAAACTAGAACTTTCATACAGTTGGTGGGGATGTAAAATGGTACAACCACTCTGGAAAGCAGTCTGGCACTTTGTTTAAAAATGAAATGTACATCTACCATATGCTCCAACTATTCCAGTCCTAAAGATTTATCCAAGAGAAATAAAAGTATATGTCCATACAAAGACTTATACAAATGTTCATAGTAGTTTTACTGTAATAACCAAAAACTGAAAACAACCCATCAGAAGGTTAATGGATAGAGAGACTATGGTATGCACATACAAAGGAATACTACTCAGCAATAAAAAGGAATAAGCAATTGATACACACAAGAACATGGATGAATCTCAAAATAATTATGCTGACTTAAAGAAAGCCAAGTCAAAACAAACAAACAAAAATACTGTATGATTCCATTTTACATAAATTTTAGGTAATGTGAACTAATATGTAGTGACAGAAAGCAGACCACTGTTACCTAGGGAAGGGGGATGGCAGAGAAGGGGTAGGATGAATGGATTACAAAGGGGCACAAAAAACTTTTTGGGGGGAGTTTGGAAATAATGGGTATGTTCATTATCTTGATTGCGGTGGTAGTTTTACAGGTATATACAAATGTTAAAACTTATTAAATTATGTTTTAAATATGTTCCAATATGTTCCTCAATAAAGCCGTTATAAAAAATGAAAAAGCACTTCATCTTCCAGAATAAAACACAGGGCAGGGGAATAATCATGGACTTCAGGGACACAGGAAAAGGTCTGGGAGTGCCAATCCCTCCTACCCAATGTCCACTCCCATGGCTCCTAGGAAGGTGGACGCTAGGCTGGCAAAGGGTCTGAGCCCTCTGCGCTGAGGACACTGTTGGGAAAACAGCAGACCCCCTGAAGCCCAGAGACATCATCTTGCCTCAGAGGGTTACACAGCTAGTAAATGGTTTAAACCCAGACTTGCCAAAGTCCTCTTTCTCTTCATCTACCACAAATTCAAGAATCAACCTGAGAAAGGGTAAAGGTGTGAGCTTGTGTGTCCGTGTTTAGAACAATTCTCTCCACTGAAACCAGAGAGCCAGAACCAGTCTGGCCATCCCCAAAGAGCCAGACACCTTGGACACAGCAGCTGAACTTCCGGTGCCTGAGGGTTTGTGGTGGCAGGATGACAGGCAGGCGTGGGATGAAGCTGACAGTCAAGTTTGGGTTTGCAAGGGGAGCAGGCTAACCGGCTCCTCCAGCGGAGTCCCAGCAGCTGCCTGCCGAGGACGCCACCACCACTCCCCATGCCTGACAGAAAAGGAATATCTCCACCCAGTCCGGTTGGGACAGGGGTTCTGGGGGCCATCTGACTCAGAGCCACTCCCTGGGCTGGGGCAGAGATGGGTCTTGGCGACAGTCCTGAGACAGGCAGCAATTTTGCACCCACCTCCGCCTGAGGGCTAAAGAAGCAAGAACCCACACAGTGCCAGGTAAGAGATGAGCATCCCTAAGAGGACGAGGCCAACAGATGAACCACCAAGTCCCTATGGGGCAGGAATGAACAGCCTGGAATGCACAGCCTGGCACCCAGACCATGAGGGAGTCAAGAGGAAGTCAAACTCAGCCCCCACCCCTGCAAGCCCTACCTCTAAGCTGGGCTGGAAGCTGACCCTGGCTGGTACAGAACTCATGATGCCACAGCTCAGCTGCTCATCTGTCCACCTCCTTGGGGCGGGGCTAAGGTCTGGGCCACACAGGATGCCCCAAGTCCAATGATGCAGATATCCCTCCTCTCCCTCATTTTCAGACTGGGGTCCTGAGAGCCCACACGGAGACAGGGCCTCACCAGTGGCTCTCCACCCTCCTGCCCACTATTTATCCTTGGCTCTGGGCCCTCACTATTAATCAAATGTGACAAGAAGGTGTGGCGGGAGCAGGTCAGGCTCGTGCCCAAGTCACTGGTTGCCACACTCATCTCAGCTCACATGGCTACAGTTACAAGATAAGGTCCTGTCCTAGCAATGCTGCCCCTTCCCTTTTTTGGAATGTGATTTGAGGACGTGAGACAACCTGTGCTGACTGCACCGCCCCAGCTAGGGCATGAAGCACCCCTACCTCCACCGGTGTGGCTGGGGAGGGGGCGGGGAGCGCTGATAACTTCCTCTGCAACCTCATCCTAGTGCTACCCCTCTCTTTCTTCTGCCCAGGCCTGGCAGCCGCCCAGACAGTCTCACCGCCAGTCTAGACTCTAAGGAAATGTCCCATCACTCCAGTTGGCACAAACAGTGCTGGGGGGAGGGGCCCTGCCTTGCCGTTGAAAACTGCACTGTTTGGGTCCTCTCCAGGTTTAAACACGGGGAATGAAAAAAAGGCAGTTCGGAGACCACGCTCTCCCGCGATAACTGCAGCCCCCTCCTTCCAAACACATCAATTCCAATTGAGAACAGAACTGGGCTTCCTTACCTGGTGGCTTCCACTGGCTCACTGCAGACACTGCTTCTACGATGTCCCAGCCGAGGTGGCAGAAGAGGACCCAGCAGGACACTGCCTGCTACCGGGCAGTGGTTTCCAACGCCCCCAGGTTCGCGGTGCTCTTCTGCTCCCCTCTCCCCAACCCCCTACATTCTGCGCTCACCTCGACCCCGGCCCGGCCCAGCCCGGCCCTGGTGCCGAGCAGCCGGCCCGTGGGTTACCACCTCCTCCTCCGCCTGCGCCTCCGGAGCCTGTGCCCCTCAGGGGGCCCCTCCCCCTCCTGGGACCCCTTCCCGTCCAGGTATGTTTCCTGGACAGCCCGCACCACCTGTCCCTCCTGTACCCCAGGCAGCCAATTCGCTTCCTGCACCCCCAGACGTCCCTCCCCCTCAGGCCCCCGGGGCCCCACTGGCCGGGCCCTCCCCAGCAGTTCGAGTCTCTTGCGACGGGCCGGCACCGCTCCCAGGACCACCGCCTCCCGTCTGAGGTGCCCGCAGCTCTCCCAGTACTGCTCCCCGGAACTTTCGAGCTCGTCTCTGCGCTCCCAAGAGCCCTCCCCGAGCTCGGACAGCTGCTCGGGCTGCTGCAGCAGCCGGCGTGGGCTCCCCTCCCCCCGTTCCTGCACCCCGGTGCGGGCCTCCCCCCGCTCCTGCACTGCGGGGCTACCTTCCCCTTTCTCCTGGTGCTGCTTGCGGGGCCCAAGCCCCTCCTCCTGCACCACCGGCCAGCCCGCGGAGCCGGTCCACGGCGGCGGGCGCCTCCAGTCCGCGCCGTCCGGCGGCCCCCACACCACCCCCAGACTGGGCTCGTGGCCCCGGCCACCCCGCTCCTGCACCCCGGGGCCCACCCCGCCCTCCTCCTGCACCGCCGGCCCCACGCCCCCCTGCTCCTCCACGCCGAGCTTCAGCCCGCGGAGCTGCTGCGGGCCCCAGCTGAGAACCCCGACCCGCTGCGGCTGCTGCTCCGGCAGCCCTGGGCTGAGCCCGCCGCGCTCTTCCTGCACAACTCCCCGCCTGGGGCCCCCAGCCGGCACTGCCCAACGCACTCGCCTGCCCCCCAGAGGCCGCGCGGTCCCGCCCCTCCAGATGGTGCTGTCCTCTGAGCCCGCTCACACCGCCCCCCGCCCGGCTGCTTCCGCCCCGTCCCCCGGGGGAGGGGGCTGCGGGGTAGCGTCCCCTCCCGCTCCGCCCCCAGTCCCGGTCCGGCCCGCCCTCGCTCCTGGGCTTCGAGGTCCGCCCGCCGGGCGCCGCGCCCTGCGCCGGCCCCCGCAGGTGCTGCGGCCCAGCGCGCCGGCCCGAGAGCCAGGAGCGCCCACCCTCCCGCCGGAGTTCCTGGAGCCCGCCTGCGCCTGCGCCGCCCCAGGGGGCGGGGCCCGGCGGGATTAACCCGCCCCTTTAAGGGGCCCGGTCCTATTTACTCCTCCCTCTCTCTCTTCCTTCAAACCGGCTACCACTCCCCCTTCATCCCACCAGAGGAGCTGCTTGCGCCTTCTGGTGGAGCCAAAGGGAGAAGACGTGAAGCAGAAGGTAGAGAGTTCACACTGAGCCGGTGTAGTCAACAGGGCCCAGTGGAGGAGCATTGAAATAGGAGCCTCGAATTCTAAGCAGCATTTCAGCCGCTCCCCCGCCTTACCATGTAGTTTAAAAAAAAAAAAAAATCACCACTTCCTCCTGGCCTCAGTTGCTTCGTTTCTGGTTCCAATCCAGTGAGTGTTTGACTGCAGAGAGGGAGTCTAATCCTAATCTCTCAGCAGCAGCCCAGAGGCCAAACTGGACCGTCTCGACCCTTTCCCTGGGTCTAAGGGGGAGCTGGGCTCAGGCCTGTGACACTTCTTGCTAGGGGAGTACAAGCAGAAAGAGCTCCAGGCAAAGGGGGCCTTCCTCCTTCCCACTGCTCTCTCCTGGGCGTGCACTTGGAAAAGAGGAGAAAATTCAGAGCTCTTTCTCCCAGTGACAGTGCAGCCTGCCTAACCCAGCCCCAGGCAACCTTGGGGGGTGAGGCTTAGAACCCGAAGACGTAGGGCCCTGTTACCGACTGTACTTCATCTATAAAATGTGTATAGTAATCAAACAACTCCAGACAGAACTGCCCCAAGGATCAGACAGCAGAGAACTCTGTAAAGGTGTCTTCTCTGCGCCCCTATTCTCCGGCATTGGGCCCAAGGGATCTGGTCTGAGGACAGTGGGGTAATGAGAAGGGGTGGGTACTAGACGGCTATGGGGGGCTCGACTGGGTGGATTTGGGTCATGGCGTCTTGCCCTGAGGTGAGCAGGACAACTTCCTACTAAATCATTCGATACCAGTGTCTGTAAGGTTTGCCCTTTGCCATGGAGCCAGGGCCACAGAGCAGGAAGGTGAATGCACCCAACCTGGGCCAAGACAGAGTGTAGGGCACGCAGGACGCCACAGGTGGTAGAAATGAGGCTGTACACAATTAAGCAACAGCTGGTGGTGGTGAAGCCAGGATTCAAATCCAGTTTTCTGACTCCCAAGTCTGCTCTGAACCACTAAGGCACAACAAAGCAACACCAAACCCAGGAACTTTGGGAAGCATCAAGTCTGACTAGGTTTGGAGGATCAGTAGATGCAAACAACTGATTTGGAGCAAGTTTTTCTGCTGATAAATCAAGCTCAAAATTAAACAAGGCAAGGGGTCAAAGCACCTACATACTGGATGGTCCTGCTGATTCTCTTAGGGGAGCCCAACTCCCCATTCTCCCATCTCCCCTCCAGTTGCTCTCAGGAGCCAGACCCATGCCTCTGGTGTCCATGGTGCAGTGTTACCTGGACCGTTAGGCTCACAGAAAAGAGGTCTCCTGCTCCCCACCCCCATCCTGCCCAGTCCCAACTCCTGGACTGTCCCCACCACCACATTGAGCAGTGAGGGCTGTGATGGGAATTGTCTCAGAGGATGGCTCCTTCTCTGCATTGTCTGATGACTCTGGTACTAGTGGCCAGGGAGTCTCCTCTGCCCCAAGGGGACTGACACCATAATGGAGTAAATGAGACAGGCTAGAAGCACAAGGTTCAGGAGACTCCAGAGGTGGCTGCAGAGATAACCCCAGCCTTCCTAAGTGCCTGTGCCAGTCTCTTCCCAGAACTGGAACCTGAAGAGAGCTGCCCAGAGCAGAGTGACTGCAGGGAGAAGGACTTGTCAGGTCTAGTTCTAAGCAGAGGCAGCCGGGGCTGCTTGAGGGAGGCTTATGGCACTGCCCTTAAGAAGGCTTGAGATGGTTGCACGCAGGGTAAGCAGGAGGGCAAGGAAGACAGCCTGTCTCATACCTGTAAGCAGGTGCTCAGCCAAGAGTGGTGGATGCTGCAGAGTTATTGGGCTGAAGGTTTTTCTTTGGTTCTGTTTTGTTTTTAAAAATAGAGCAATGTTTTTTAAACTCCTGTTGCAACTTAATAGTAGCTGAACTGAATTTAGTGTTTTAATTGGCTTTTTTTTTAATGAGAAGACAGTAATAGAAAATCTAAGAATGTAATTTTTTTTTGAACTGTTCACTGAGTCATAACATGCATCCAGAGAAATGCAAAGATTTGGGTTTTACAAAGTGTGTATACCCAGGACTGAGATCAAGAAACACCACAATCAGGGTTTGTAAGTACCCCCAAATATAAGTTTTAAAAGAAACTTTGTTATATTAATCTTCAAGCCTGCCCTTCATATTCATGATTTACTTTTAACTTTCTGACAACCCTATCCTGCCACTACACCAACATAAACTCCATAATAACAGGAAGTTTTGCCTGGGAACAGACTGGCACAGGAACCCAGAACAATGCCAAGTATACAGTAGGTGCCAGGAATACCTATTGAATGGATTAGAGTCCATCACAGATAGTGTAACCAACCAGATAGTGTAACCCTATGGGGCCTTCCCAGGATAGATGCCTGCCCCGCCCCCCACACCTGCCCCACCATGTCTTCTGCCTGCCTCTTGTCTGTAGAAAAACTTTAGCCTCTTAGGCCTTCCCCAAGTTCCAAAAAAAATAAATTTAATCAGAGAGGTAAGAAAATGCAGAAAGCATAACAGCCAAGCAAGACGAAACAATAATACTTTAGCCGTTAAACAAAGTCAAGAACCTTTAGTTCCTCCTCAAGGGCTATAGATAATATCCTGAGCCATGTCCTTTGAGCTGTTTGGCAGATACTGAAACCCCCGCCAGGTGGAATAAGTTAACTGTCTGCTGCCCACAAGCATGTAGACCCCAGACCAACTGGAACCAGCAGGGTGGTGATGTTGACTCCCAATTACATCCCTCAATCTCCCTTTCCTCACTCTGTCTCTAAAAAGTTTTTCCTGGAACCATCAGGGAGTTGGGTCTTTGGAACTCTAGCTGCCTGGACTCACTGCGTGGTGTACTGCAATGAATGCTGCACTTTTCTTGATCACAAGAAAGTGGATTAGCTGTGCACAAGTGAACGAATCCAAGTTTGGTTCAGTAAGAATAATAGAAGTATTTTAATGATATTTTAATTTCATTATATACACGTGTGTGCTGTACATCCTGCTATAAAATGTGTTTCTCTCTGTAGGTCAGAGGCAAAAACTTCTGAAGGCAAGTGCTCCAACTTGAGAAAGTTGGGGAGGCTGTGGTTCCGGCCAAGGCGATGAGCATGGATGAAGTGAAACAGTATGCTAACTCGACCAGTGCTTCTCAAACAGGTTCTGATTCAGCAAGTTGGGAAGGGGATGCTGAGATTCTGTCTTTCAGGCTCCTACTCTTGAGTAGTGACTTGAACCCAAAGATTCTCCATAAGACTGCAGGTAAGAATCACGTGGGAAGGGCTTTTAAAAACTCTGCTGCCTAAGTTCCACCCCAGAACAATTAAATTTGAATCTCCAGGGTGGGGCTCAGCAGCCATTGGTTTTAAAAGTTCACCATGTGCAAACAGAAACAGTGGGTGCTGGTTCTCTGGAGTACCTCCAGTGCCTGCGCTGAGGTGGGAGGGAAGTGAGGTGTGGGGTTAGGACAGATCTCTGAGCAAACGATGCAGTATGACAAAGGGCAGAGACTTCTTAGTCAGGAATGGACCATTTTCCCCTTAGTGGAGCTTTTAAAGAGGGATTTCTAAAGGAATGCTTTGGCATGGGGCTATATGTTAACCCAGGTCACGTCTTCCCAGGACCGAGAACGGACAGTGCCTTCGTCTTATCGAGCAAGTCGGAGTTCCTCAGAGCTGCTCGGGTGGCTGGGCTCACACGCCTCCAAACAGTTCAGACAGTTACTAGAGCAGTGGGAGCAGGTTCTGCCAGCTGCTCCCACGTGCCTGCGCCTTCTGCCATGCTAGAGAAAGAGCCAGATGAGCCCAGAGTTTACAAGCCCTGGATCAACATAGACTATTCAGGATGAAGCGCCATAGTCCTGGGTTCTGACGCCCCCTGGTGGACACTTTGAGTTGAAGTTGGTAACCGACAAACAGACTAAGGTACACTTCTATTTATTATTTATTTTAACTTTTAATACAATTTTTAAAGGTTACTTTTCACTTAAAATTAAATTACAAAACATTGGCTATATTCCCCATGTTGTACAATACATCCTTGAGCCTATTTTTACAGCCAATACTTGCTACCTCCCATTCCACCACCCCTATATTGTCCCCCCATAACAACTACTTTGTTCTTCCTGTGAGTCTGGTTTTTTTGTTTTATTCACTAGTTTGTTGTTTTTATTTTAGATTCCACATATAAACAATATCATACAGTATTTATCTTTCTCTTTTTAAATTAATTTATTTAATTGGAGGATAATTACAATATTGTGATGGTTTTTGCTATATATCAGCCAACATGTATCCACCACAGGTATACATGTGTTCCCCCATCCTGAACATCCCCTCCCACCGCCCTTCCCACTCTATCCCTTCTGGGTTGTCCCAGAGCACTGGCTTTGGGTGCCCTGCTTTATGCATTGAACTTGCACTGGTCATCTGTTTTACATATAGTAATATACACGTTTCAACTCCATCTAAAGGAGACGCCCCTGTCACCCTCCACTCCTGGCCCGACACTTTTCAGCATCTATTATATATCTACTGGGTGATCATCTGCCTTCCCCACTGAGAGGTAGGCTCAGTGAGGGGAGGGAATTTGTCTCTCTGGTTCCTGCTTAACCCCCAGGGGCACCTCAGACAGTGTCCAAGCAATTAGAAGGTGTGGGATAAATATTTCTGAATAAATAGAAGACAGATACGGACATAGATAGAAAAACAGATCTAGATATAGATGTAGATACAGATCTAGAAATACAGACACAGGCGTATCAGGTCACTGGCAAGCCAAGCAGATTTTTAATCAATGGCTTCTAGCACAGGGTGACAAGAAAAGCCACAAAACCTCCATGTGCATGATAATGTTGATGTTCTGTTAGAGAAAAC